ACACACACACACACACAACCTCTAGAATCAACCAAAACTTAGGTTTGGTTCTAAGACCTACATACATGATGGATGGAACAGCTAAGAGAATTTGGGGACATGCCCCTCCCGTGATGAACACCACAAGGGACTCTGCTCTGAATAACATTCAAATGCACATTTAAACTTTTTGAAACCAGATAAATGGACACCAGAGTTGCTCTGTTTACATCATTAACCCACATTTAGGCCAAACTGGAAAAAGTAAAAGACCTTCTGAAAGATGCCTTGAGAGAAGAGTGCCTGTCTCTTTTGGTGGCAGGAATGCAGGGCCAGGAATCACCCTGTCCGTTCAGTAGGATAGATGCTGTCCTTAACGGTGCAAGATGGCTTCATACCACCCAGGTATCTGAGAAAATCCTTCCTGACTCACATTACGCAACATTAATTTCCTGACCTTTTTCTCTGAAGTAATTGGATCAGACGTTTCTCCTCCTGGACAGTCTGGAGTAAATGAGAGCCTTAAGAAGCTAGGTGTAAAATCTTGGAGGGGCACTAAAAGAGGTGCAAGGGGACATGGAGAGGAGAAAGAGCCATTGTCATATCACTGAGGAAGTGCCCTTACATTTAGGATGGAGCTTATTCCTGTCCAGAGTCTTCCTTGGGTTTGACTAGATTCTGTTATCATCATTCTTCGAATGGTGGCGAGTAGTGGCCCAAAGAGAGAGTTACTGAGATGGACATGTGACATGCTCAACACATGTGGTACTCAGAACCAGGCAAAGCAGAAGTAAGGACTGCTTGTCTCCTTTTTCATACACACACACACACACACACACACACACACACACACACACACAGACATGCTCATTTTATAGAGGCACAGGAGAAACTGACATGACATCTTGCCTCCAAATTCAGCAATGTCTCTAGGGTGTTGGAAATGGGAGCAATTAAGCCAGTGCCCCACTCTCCATCCTTCTGGCTTCTTACTGGTAGTTGGGCAGTGATGGAGGAGGCAGCCTTTAAGGGAGAAGATTTTAGCCAAGCGGTTTTAAAAGTATTTGTGAGGGTCACACCAATAAGGACCCTTCCCCACTCCCGGTCATACCCACTCCCACCCAGGCTGCCTTACTTTCTGCTTCCTATCTTTGATATGGACCTAATCAGGGGGGAAGAAGGAATCTTGCCATTTCCCCATCCACATGCTTCTAAGTTCCTAAGTTCACGCAGAGAGAAACCCTTTTCCTAAGTTGTGACTGGAGTCAATGCATGCCATTTTAGGAACTCCTTCCTCCTTCCTTTGTCCTTTGAACTTGGTAAAAGGAAGTTGTATCCAGAACTATCCCTTAAAAGAGAGGAGTAAGGATAGGGGGTGGTAGTGACGGGTTTGGAAGAAACTGACTACAGGTGCTTCCCTGGGCTCATGTTTCAGGTCCCCTGTCACTGCCTGTCCCTTAGGGCTGTGAGTCTGTGTGGAGAGAGGTTCTCAGAGCATCTTAACCAAAAGGAGCTGCTGGCCTGGCTGCTCTTCCTTGGATCTTCTAGACATGGTACAGGTTCAGCCACAGTGTGCCATCCAGCAACGTGATTTTAGAAAAACAACAAACCGAACGTTAACACGCCCTGCCTCAGCCCACAGAACAATGCCAAGCAGAAGATTACTTACGAGGAGCCTTCGTTTGCCTTCGAAGGAGCCCAGCAGGTCAGTGGCCGACTTCCGGGGGCTGGGAGCGAGGTGTTTGGTGGTGGGTTTCAGGAAGCCTTCCTGCTCTGTCCTCCCCGCTTTTTTCTTCTTGCTCTTCTCTCTGTCCTGCCTGCTCTTTTTCTCAGCCTTGTCCTTCTTCAGCTGCTTTTCACTCTTGAGTAACTTGTCTGCTTTCTCATTCTTCATCTTTTTTTTCTTCTCCTTCTCGGGTTTCTCCAGCTTCTCATGCTTTTTCGACTCCTTTGCTTTCTGGGGGGGAATATTCCCCACCTGCAGCTCCTCCTCCAGCTGAGAGGCAGTAGGCCGGCTGAGCTCATACTTATCCTCATACTCATTGCTAAGAATTTTGTCCTGGGCCTTCTTTTTGGGAGGCTTCCCCTTTGCTGGCTTGTGAGGTCCTGGAACCACGTTTGGGTCCCGGGGGCCATGCTCCCGCCTGTCTGTGCGGTTGTCCCGGACCCGCCCCGCGCCAGCCCTTGTGCTGTGCTCTGCAACGGTGGTGGGAGGGGCAGCCGTGAAGCTCTCGAAGCTGGTGGCCTTGCTGGGCCTCCTGGTGGTCTGTGGCCTCTCCCTGTGCTGCTCCTTCCTGGGTGGAGGGTAGAGATTTTCTGAGGCCACAGGGGCCCTGGCAGTGGTCACCTCCGCTGTTGCTGGGGGCCTGTGGGCGTCTGAGAAGGGAGGCGCCCGAGGGGTCCAGGGCCTTTGGGTGGTCGGAAAGGCTGTAGTGGTTGTAGGTCTTACAGCTACAGTTGCCACCCGAGAGGTGGCCCGAGTCACTGTTGTGACTGAAGCAGGAGACAGGGTGGTGGCCCTTGGGGTTGGAGGAGGTGAGGGGGGAGCCCCCGTAGTGGTGGCGGGTTTTCGCATCACCTTCACCCGACTCTCTCGGGTTGGCGGGACGTGTGCTCTCCTCTGGTCTTCTTTCCTCTTCTCACTGCTCAGGCCTGGCCTCCCTGCTCCACCACCGTTGTTCCCCTCCGCCACCACCTGGCCCTCTACTCCAGAGGCCTTACATTTTTGGACAAAACCCTTCTGCCTGATCTTCTCTATCCTGCGGATGGGGCTCTGGTCGATGATCTCATACATGGCCTCCAGCCTGACCGGGTAAGGGTAGCGCTCTTCTACCTGCAGCGTCTTCTTCAACAGCACCATGCCAAACTTTCCCTTCTCCAGCTTCAAGAAGCTCATTAGCTTTGGGATGAGGTTGGGATCTAGGGGCTGCTCCAGGACGCGGCCCTCACTGGTGATCCTCCGCACCTTGCCTCCTTCCTCGCCTGCCTGGTGGAACAGCACAATCTGCTGAATGTGCCGTTCCGCCAGCTCGCAGTACACATCGTCCTTCAGGAGGCTCATCATGAGGCGGTAGTAGCTATCCGAGGCGTGGGGGGCTGAGATGACCCACACCCTGTTCTTCCCTGCAAAGCTGGCAAGGATGTTGGGATTGCTGGACCCCGAGGGGAAGCGCAACATTCTTGACCGAGCTAAGGACCCCTCATCTCGGACCATCTCACGCGGAGAGCTCCGGGCTGTTGGTCTCTGCTCAGGTCTCACCAAGGCTCCATTGATGCCCAAAGGGGCCGGCAGTGCGGTTGCCTGAGCTACTCTCAACACCGGCACACTCCTCCTTCTTTGGAGAGGCTGGAGGTTTGGTTCTTCCAGAGTGCTTCTCGCAATTCCCTGAGACCTCCCCGTGTGCCTCAGAAACCGGGCTGGCCTTCTGTTGACTGGGGAGACCAGAGGCACTTTCCGCCCTCCATGGCTCCCTCTATTCATGGCTTGGGGGTGGGGTTCTGATCCACACACCAGCCACAGTGCCAACAGCATGGTAAAACTGGGTCCCATTCTCCATGTCATTGTGCAATCCTCTTTGGGAGGCAGCAGGGTCAAAAGACAGAAAGGGGAGGGGGGAAAAAGAAAGAAAATCATTTAACTGCAAACAGAGCTGGGCATTTTTTTTCTCTCTCTCTCTCTGTTGGCCTAGGGGAGGGGGAAGGGGTGGTTAAAGCAGAAGGAAAGAGGTCAGGGAATGGAAAATAGGATGAGATCCTGTTGCTTTTAAACCCCTGTAATTTGTCAGTGCTTAGCAGAGACAGTTACATTAAGCAGGAAACCCAACTCGGGTCTGCACTCAGCATGCTTGCACTGTTTCAACTGACTGATGCTCCAGAGAAAATGCACACTGAGCATATTAATTACGACTACATTCCCATTTCATTTCTTCAATAAGCAACAAAGAAACAAACAAACACACCGAAGACAGAAGGATTACACACTTACATTGTGGCTCATGGAGATGGAATGCAGAGGGTTTAAAAAGCAATCTGAAGTGTGGTCCCAGGACAGTTTCCCAGATGAAACACTTTTCCTCCCAACCCTCTCTCTCCTTTGAGAGGCTGAGCGATACAAAGGGGGTGAGCCGCAGCTCCAGCTCCCAAAATCGCACCACAGACCCACCGCCTGTCCTGACCTGAGGGCTGAGCTGCTTTCTTCTTTTCTTTCTGGCTGTGTCTTTTTACCTTCTTGACAAGTAGGATGAAGTGAAAGGAGCTGTCCTTTTGAGGCTTTGCATCTCCATTTGTCTGTAGGCTCTGCGCGGTCTCGTGTGTCTGTGTGTGCCAATCTCCTGTGCCGACAGACACAGGACGTCCCTTACAGTGGAGCCCCAGCTAGTTCTGAATCTCGCTCTTTCTCTCTTTAGAGTTCCAGGATCCTTCTTATCACCCTTTCCCCTACAGTCTGGCTTAGTCCCTTTGTTTCCGAGCGTAAAAGCACTGGGATTAATATGTTTTCCAGACTGAGGGAAAACACAGGAATGTGATGTTAAAAAGGACTTTTTTTCCTCTTCCTACACTTCTCTCCTCCCTTTATTTTTCCCCACCTTTTTTTCTCCTCTTTTCCTTCTCCTTCTTTTTCTTCTTCCTCTTGCCTGGATTCAGTCCCAGAAATGCCAGGACAACCTCAGTTTTGATCCAAACCAAACTCAAACAACAGCAGCCACTGGAAATCAAGGAAACTTCACTAAGAATTTAACAGATCAGCAAAACACCGCCTCCTTCCCATTTCAACACGTTGAGAGTGGACTCGATGGTGATGGCGGGGTGGATGGGGGGAGGGCTGTTCTCCGGGGTGGGGGAAAGTTTTGAAACACTACACATCATCATAAATCACTTTAGAATAGGATGGCTGAGGATTTAACCCCTTCCATACCCAGTAACCAGGATACTTTTCCTTCCTTTCTGTACTCACACTGCACTTCGGAAAGGGAAAATTCTCAGATTTCTGCATCTGGCTGCTTGGTTTTCCTAGAGACAGATTCTCATTTGAGTGAGAGTTCTTGGTGGCACATACACAGACAGTATATATATTTATAGTTCCACGTGTATATTTTTATCTCTTTCTCCCTGCTTCATGCGTTTAGTTTGAGGTTGGAAAAGCCCGTGGAAAACATGACTGGGTTGTTTTTATTTTATGCTAATTGGGGATCAGATTACAGTACTGTGTTCTTGTTCTTAGTTTCTCCTTGGCATGGAAGGAAGCTGGTAAAAGGTTAGAAATGCAGGCGATGGCCTCTTTCCCCCTGAGATTGAGGTCGGCCATTACATCAGAGAAAGGGCATCGTAGTCTCCAGTTCTGGGCTCTGGCTAGAGATGGTAGGCTAAGAGCTTCTTCAGAGGGCATGAGTGTGTATGAGTGTTTGTAAGTGTTGCAATATTTTGCCCTCCAGAGGCTTCAGTTGAGACTTTCGGCAATCGTTAGAAGGAGCCGTATCAGGTTCCAAAGGAGAGACGGAGGCAGCTCTGTGCATCTCCCTCCTGGCTCTGCCGTGGGGATTCAGCCTTTAGCAGGGAGGGAAGATGCCTCAGGTTCTACAGGTGTTTCTTCTAGGCTCTCCAAGAGAATGCAGCCAGTATTAACTGCCACAGACAGTGATGAGCCAGTGTTGCCAGAAGGCTCCTTGCAAGCTAGGCCACGCTACTAGCTTCCCCCACTGAATAAAACCTGGGCCCTAGCTGCTACCCCTTGATCAGCCCTGTCTCCGACTGGTCATCTGCCTTTCCTTCACTCAAGCTATCAGGACTGAATTGAAGACCTCTAAGGAGTTGAGTCTTGGGCTCTCAGCCCACAGCTTGAAGACCAAGGGGTGCCGAGAAGGAAAGCCCTCCTGCGGAGCCCTCTCAGACACTTACAGATACAGTAACAAAGCGGGCTTCAGACAGAGACCCTCTGCCCACCGGAGTCAGAGAAGATTTCCCCTCTCATGGGATTCGTCTGTTAAGTTGGCCAAATGCCTTGTGCCAAGTTGGACAGTCCTCAATGTTATTTCCTTCCTCACATCATAACATTTCCCACCCTATCCCTTACCAGGCCTCCTCCTCTCCTTCTTTTCTTTTCCGTTAGTCTTCTCCCTACTAATAACAACTACCATTTATCGAGCATTTTCATGGGAGTCTCTGGGCTTGGCACATTGATGTATTCTTTGGTCTAACCCTCAGCATCCCTAGGAGATAGGTGGGATGATCCCCATTTTACAAATGGACAAACTGAGGCTTAATGAGTTTAAATAATTGCCTACTGTGGCACAGATGGGAAGTGGGAGAGCTGCAATTTGAACCTGGATTCAGAACTGTCTACGCAGTATTGTGTTACCCTACCTCCCCCTTCATTTCCTTCCCACGCCTTCTCTCTCTTCTCTTTCTTCAACTCCTTTTTGTGTCTCCCATATTCATAGAAGAGTCTCATTTATTTGGTCAACCAGAGCCCTACTTTCTGGAATAATTGTGTAGCTATACTTTTTGCCTTTCTGAATAGGTCCTTAAAGTCTTTTATCCTTTTTCATGGCTTCCACCAACCTCTCAACGATGTACACAATATTCGTCGCCTGTGTACTGGTAAAGTTGGAATACAGCCACTTATGCGAAGGGGATTTCACCCAGAGGGGAAGCCAGCTCATCCCTGAGCTGGATGTCTTTCCGGGAGCCTCAGGCTTTCTTCCCTTCTGTGAGCTTCAGCCACTAGATGGCGTGCTAAACACATAAGCGGGAGACGACCTAACAAACCCCCCTCCGCGTCTTCCCTAAGCTCCGCCGCCCCTCTCACCCGCGCGCGCGCACACACAGACGCGCACACACCCAGACGCGGGCAAAGGGGGGCTTCTCGTCCCTGCTCAGGATTTTTCAACCTCAGAGCCTGAACCCGTCCCTGGAACCTGAGAAAAGCGCCCCCGCCCTGCACGGAAGTCCAGGGAGTACATGCTAGATAAGGGCAATTAGGAAGCAAGTCAGCATCCACCCCTTTCTGGAGAAGCCCATCATGATACGTGGTTTGTAATGATTCTCAATTTCTCGTGCGTGATTGAAAAAGCTCCCTGCATTAAGAAGCTCCCACTTAGATCTTTCCATTTCTTTCTGTCGCCTAAGAAAGAAACAGAACTGATTAGCAGAGACGAGAGAGAGAGAGAGAGAGAGAGAGAGAGAGAGAGAGAGAGATTTGAGAGATTGATGTTGAGTCAGAGAAAGGTAAAAGGAGCAAAATTCAAAAGTAGATTTTAGAAATGCTAATTTAGGAATTCACTGATGAGAAAGTGTCTGCCATTGGTCTGCATAGTAATTTGGAGGGAGGAAAGGAAAGAATGTGCAAAATAGAATTGCTTTAGAGGCGCTGGGCTGGGGAGTAGTCATCTGATGAACATCCAAGTGACTGTAAGGAGGCATCCAGAAAGGGGTGTGCTAGCTGACCAGACCCACACTCACCCAAGGCTTCAGCAACCTGGGACCAAGACTCAGGGAAATCTGCTGTCCCGGGCACTCTGGAGAAACCATAGTTTCTGTCACGTGTAGTTGGTTCCCTTGCACAGAGTCACACTCAGTGGATGTTACTGAACTGGATTCAAAACGTTCTATGGCCTGAGAAAATCATTTGCTCAAGAGGAAACCAGAAAAAAAGAAAAGGGGGGAAAACTACAAGCTCTTCGGTGTGGTCTTGGCGGGAAACCACCTCTCCTGCTCTGTCATGACCTGTTCCCCCAGCAGGAAAAATCGCAGAGCCATTTTCTCACACCTGTGTGGCAGAGACACAAACAATACTCACATTGAGGACACGGCTATGTGCTTTTCCTTTCCATTTTCAGACTCTAATCAACGTTCAGTCTTAAGCTATGTTTATATGTTCTTCAGTGTGAAAAAGAATTCTCCTCCTTCTCAGGATTCACAATGTAGGACAAACTAAAGACATAAACAGCAAGGTCAAGGGGAAAGCCCGCGATGGCTGTGAACTCAGCATGCTGCTGTAGCCCAGAGAGCCTCTGAGAAAGGGTAATCCCCCAAAAGAAACACTCTGAAATTGGCCCTGAAGTGTCAACAAGGTCACGTGTTTAACTGAAAATTGAAAGGTAAGTATACTTTAGAAAATAAATACATAAAAATAAAACTTACCTGATAGGATAGTGGCCAAAACTATTAAGAACAATTTCAATGTTCTTTTTAATTTATTTATTTTTAATTACATTAAAGTTTATTGGGGGGAATCTTCAAGGTACTTTTTTCCAGATGGAAAGTTGTTTAATTAAGAAAATGTCAAACTCCTAATTCCAGCAAATTGAAGGATCTTGCCTTAGCAGAGGTTAAGGAGATATGTGAATGACCTAATGGCTTATTTAAACTTTTTAACAAAGTTCATATCTTTATTGGTTGCTATTCTGTGAGAATTGTAAAACTTGTGGGCATATCAATTTGCTGCTTTTGGGAGTTAGTTCTAGGGTGGGAAGAGGGGAACAGTACTGGGTTCAAAGTCTTAGCCATTGGCAATTTAAGGCGTACAAAAGATGTATATCAATCAGATTTGCAGGGGAAAATCCTGCTGCTGCTGCTGCTCTCCGGGCCATTAGGTAAAGCCAAAAAGAGACTAATGATCCAATTCTTCTCCCTTCTTTCAGCTCATCTCTCAAATGTTCCCTGAAAGTGCAGACTTTGTACCAGGAATGATAGAGAACCAGGCAGTCTCTTCCCCTTAGAAGCTCACGGTCCATTGGAAAAGATAAACAAGCATCAGTCAGTTATACTCTCCACAGCACTGCTGCTGACTTTCTCTTCATGTAAAACTCCAGTGCTGATTTTGTAGCCAATTTGCACAGAGTCCATTTGCGTCGGAGACTCTCTCTTTGTTGGATCAGGCCCTCCCCAGAAAGAGGCTTCCCGTGGCAGCCACTGTGTGACACCTGGAAAATCTTGCTTGGTATGTTCTCTTGGCTCTAGAGTCCGCTAGAGTCTGCATGAGTCCAAGATCCTCTGTCTGGCAGGATGTGCTGGATTGCCTGGCTGTCCTTTCATCCTCATTTTCCCAGTCCCCATCTTGGCTCCATCTCCTGCACCTGCCCTGCTACGATTGCCCAGTCTTTCTCTTGTGGATTCTCTGTATAGACTCTTCACTCCCAGGTTTTGATGACATCACTCAGGATATCACCTTACATAAGGAGAGGTTAACCAACAGGATGGCAGTTCATTCATTCAAGAAATATTTCTTCACGGCCAGGCATTGTTCTAGTCACTGGGGGTATATCAGTGAGCACTCCCTTACCTGGCAGACCTTGAATTCCAGTGGTTGGAAATAGGCAATAAGAATATAGACCAATAAATATACCTGTACCTAGATATGTGCTTGGAAGAGATTTTTTAAAAGGGAAGGGAGTTAAAGGTGATGGACGAAAGGAGGCCATTTTAGATTTGGGTCAAGGATAAGGATCCTAAGTGAAGTGAGGGAAGAAAGTCACTCAATATTGGAGGAGAGGAAGAACATTCTAAGCAGAGGGAACAGCAAGTACGTAGGCATTGAAGCAGGAATTGTTTCACACGTGTCCCAGAAGAGCTGTGTTGACTGGTTTTAAGCAAGGATGCAGCGAGACCTGATACATGATTTAAGGGGATGGCTGTGGGTGCTACGTGGAGAGTAGAGTCTGGAGCAAGAATGGCAGCAGGGAGGTCACTTAGGGAGATCACGTGCTAGTGCAAGGGAAAGGCGCGTAGCTGGGATCAGGGTGCCAGGAGCAGTGTAGGTGCAGAGAAGCCATCCTCTTTGGTGTATATTTTGGATAGAGCTGATAGGAGTAGTTGTGGCAAGACAACCACGTGCTTTGTTTGAAGTTCCTTTAGACCCCCTGGTACAGAGGCTGAGCAGGCTGTTGGTACATGAGTCTGGACTTCAAGGAGGGCTGGGCCCGAAATTATAAATTTGGAAGGCTATCTAAAGCATGAGACTGGGAGAAATCACTTAAGGAGTGAGTATAGGTGAGATGAGTGGTGCTGGGCCCGGCGTACAATGTTTAGGAGATGACAAGAGTACAGGATAGGGCAGAGCAGCTGGTGCGCAGGACGAAGGCAGGAGCACATGGTGGTTTTCACTCGCCCACAGATTGAACCACCTGTTACCTCTGACCCTTTCTCTGCAGGTCCTCACTGCATGTGTCCACATTCAGCTCATTCTTCAACGTCTGCGCTCTGTCCTATTTCTTCCATAGAGTTTCCCCAGAAGCTTCAATGTGAACCGCTCTCCTCTTTCTGAGAGGTATTCTGTAAAGCATCTCTATTTTGATCCTTTTTTATTTCAAATATGGTTCTTGTTCTTCCAAGAAGATTTTTAAGCTTCTGAGAACATGGAGTAGTCTTACATTTATTTGGCATCCTTCTTAGCACCTGCATATAGTTAAAATACAAAAATTGTAAGTGCGTACCAAGCAAATACTGTTAAAAGGAGAGATGGCAAAACCCCAGAAGGTAACCTAACCATGACATCACTTTATTTATTTATTTTTTTATTAATGTTATGATAGATTACAAGCTTGTGAGATTTCAGTTGTACATTTTTGTTAGTCATGTTGTGGGTACACCACTTCCCCCTCCGTACCCTCCCCCCACCCCCCCCTTTTCCCTGGTAACCACCGATCAGATCTCCTTCTCAATATACTAATTTCCACCTATGAGTGGAGTCATATAGAGATCGTCTTTCTCTGACTGACTTATTTCGCTTAACATAATGCCCTCGAGGTCCATCCACGTTGTTGTGAATGGGCCAATTTCGTCTTTTTTTATGGCTGAGTAGTATTCCATTGTGTATATATACCACATCTTCTTTATCCAATCATCAGTTTGTGGGCATGTAGGCTGGTTCCATGTCTTGGCTATTGTAAATAATGCTGCAATGAACATAGGGGTGCAACGGACTCTTGAGATATCTGTTATCAGGTTCTTAGGATAGATACCCAGTAATGGGATGGCTGGGTCATAGGGTATTTCTATTTTTAACTTTTTGAGAAATCTCCATACTGTTTTCCATAGTGGCTGTACCAGTTTGCATTCCCACCAACAGTGTATGAGGGTTCCTCTTTCTCCACAACCTCTCCAACATTTGTCGTTCTTGGTTTTGGATGTTTTTGCCAATCTAATGGGGGTAAGGTGATATCTTAGTGTAGTTTTGATTTGCATTTCCCTGATGATTAGCAATGATGAACATCTTTTCATGTGTCTATTGGCCATATTCATATCTTCTTTTGAGAAATGTCTGTTCATGTCCTCTGCCCATTTTTTGATCGGGTTGTTTGTTTTTTTGTTGTTAAGCAGTGTGAGTTCTTTGTATATTATGGAGATTAACCCTTTGTCGGATAAGTGGCTTGTAAATATTTTTTCCCAATTAGTGAGCTGTTTTTTTGTTTCCATTCTGTTTTCCCTTGCCTTGAAGAAGCTCTTTAGTCTGATGAAGTCCCATTTGTTTATTCTTTCTATTGTTTCCCTCAACTGAGGAGTTACAGTGTCCAAAAAGATTCTTTTGAAACTGATGTCAAAGAGTGTACTGCCTATATTCTCTTCCAAAAGACTTATTGTCTCAGGCCTAATCTTTAGGTCTTTGATCCATTTTGAGTTTATTTTGGTGTGTGGTGAAAAAGAATGGTCAATTTTCAATCTTTTGCATGTGGCTGTCCAGTTTTCCCAGCACCATTTGTTGAAGAGACTTTCTTTTCTCCATTGTAGGCCCTCTGCTCCTTTGTCGAAGATTAGCTGTCCATAGATGTGTGGTTTTATCTCTGGGCTTTCAATTCTGTTCCATTGATCTGTGGACCTGTTTTTGTACCAGTACCATGCTGTTTTGATCACTGTGGCTTTGTAGTAAGTTTTGAAATCGGGGATTGTGATTCGGCCGGCTTTGTTTTTCTTGCTCAGGATTGCTTTAGCAATTCGCGGTCTTTTGTTGCCCCATATGAATTTTAGGATTGTTTGTTCAATTTCTGTGAAGAATGTTCTTGGGATTCTGATTGGGATAGCATTGAATCTGTATATTGCTTTAGGTAGTATGGACATTTTAACTATGTTTATTCTTCCAATCCATGTACAAGGAATGTTTTTCCATCTCTTTATGTCATCGCCTATTTCTTTCAAGAAAGTCTTGTAGTTTTCATTGTATAGATCCTTCACTTCCTTGGTTAAGTTTATCCCAAGGTATTTTATTCTTTTCGTTGCGATTGTGAATGGGATAGAGTTCTTGAGTTCTTTTTCTGTTAGTTTATTGTTAGTGTATAGAAATGCTACTGATTTATGCACGTTAATTTTATACCCTGCTACTTTGCTGTAGTTGTTGATTATTTCTAATAGTTTTTCTGTGGATTCTTTGGGGTTTTCTATGTATAAGATCATGTCGTCTGCAAACAACGAGAGTTTTACTTCTTCGTTACCTATTTGGATTCCTTTTATTTCTTTTTCCTGCCGAATTGCTCTGGCCAGCACCTCCAGTACTATGTTGAATAGGAGTGGTGAAAGTGGGCACCCTTGTCTTGTTCCTGTCCTCAGAGGGATGGCTTTCAGCTTTTGTCCATTGAGTATGATGTTGGCTGTGGGTCTATCATATATGGCCTTTATTATGTTGAGGTACTTTCCTTCTATACCCATTTTACTGAGGGTTTTTATCATAAATGGGTGTTGGATCTTGTCGAATGCTTTCTCTGCATCTATTGAGATGATCATGTGGTTTTTGTTTTTCATTTTGTTGATGTAGTGTATCATGTTGATTGACTTGCGGATGTTGAACCATCCCTGTGTCCCTGGTATAAATCCCACTTGATCATGGTGTATAATCTTTTTGATGTATTGCTGTAATCGGTTTGCCAAAATTTTGTTGAGGATTTTTGCATCTATGTTCATCAGTGATATCGGCCTGTAGTTCTCCTTCTTTGTGTTGTCCTTGTCAGGTTTGGGGATCAGAGTGATGTTGGCTTCATAGAATGTGTTAGGGAGTTCTCCATCTTTCTCAATTTTCTGGAACAGTTTGAGGAGAATAGGTATTAAGTCTTCTTTGAATGTTTGGTAGAATTCTCCAGAGAAGCCGTCTGGTCCTGGACTCTTGTTTTTG